CCGACGTACATTATCTGCGGCATGCCAGGGCAAAGAAACCACTGCTAGGGCAGTGCTTTGTGGCTTAACGGCCCAGGAGTTCTGACAAGCAGCCTGTTTCTTCTTGCCTTGGCAGCCAGCCAGCTAGTGGCTGGACACCGCTGCATGTGCAGCACCTCTAGTATAGCGTGTCACGTGTTTCGGCTGGTGCGCAGCCTTGCAGCTGCGTTGCAAGGATATGCATCTCACTAAAGCTTGCATGATGCACCGCTTTTTCTGTTAATTTTCATTCGCAGCGTTGGAGTCCGCGTCGGACGCACACCTAGCGTATGAATTCAAAGAGGTGAAACACAGGACGTCGTGGCGAGAAAACACGGGATGTCTGTACTACAAGGCCACATTGTTCAAGCCATAAAGTCGCCGGCCCAAGTGATCCCCGGATGCAGGAACATGCCACAGCAAAAGGCTGTTGTTTCGAGATTGCTATGGCTTCGGCCAAGATTCGGCAGGCACCTTCCAGCCAGCACGAATAGGCTGAAGCCTCCGCCACAGACAAACAGCGAGGTTGCGAGAAGGACAGGCTGGCTGGAGGTGGTGCGGGGATAGAAATCCCGGAGGGCACGGAAGGCAAGGGGGGACATGGCCCACCAGGTTGGCGAGGTCGGGCAGGCACGCTGTGGTGGGAGCGGTTACGCACACAGTCGCAGAACAAGGGTCGAGCAAGAGCATAAGGTCATCCGCCAAACTGCGGGCCCAATCCTGTGCGGCCGCATGAGACGGCCAAGAGTCCACCGTTCGCCTGAGTACCTCCAAGGGGGCGACATTGGCTTCAATCGCTTCCCAGCCAAATTCAGGCTCAGGGGCATCGAGCATGGCCAGCCGCAGCACTGTCTCGCAGGATGTGAAGCACCCGCACCTCGGCAGTGATTAAATGCCTTTTCAGCTGGCCTTCGCGGCCTTATGTGGAGTAAGTATGGCCGCAGCTGACTCGTTGCAGGCCCTTGGGAACCAGAGGTGAGGGGTGGAGGGACGGAGGAGAGTGGTGGAGGGGTGGAGGGGAGGTGGAGGGGTGGAGGGTGGAGGGGTCAGGGGGCCCCGCGTATCTCCGCTTATTTAAAGCGGGGTTTTTGGGCCCGAAGCCAACGGAGGCAGCACAAAATATCTGTTCAAGTATCCAAAAACGCGCATATCAAAAGATCGTCACCATACGATGTCGCATGTTTGGTAAACGAATTCCTGTTGCTGAAAGAATAAACCGGACGGAGGGTTCAAACAGGCCCAGGCCCGTCCTTGCAACGTGGCTGTTTTTAGACACTGCACCACCGGAGTCTTGCCAGAAACCCAGCACGCGAGTGCCAAGTAGGAAAACCTAAAACCCTAAAACCTAAACCGACACAAGGAGCCCTTCGACCCCCAGATCATCGAACATGGAAGCCTAAATATTTAGCAGTTTCTTTTTTAGGATTCCGTTTCGTATCATAGCCATAGTAAACCGATAGTATTTTGTCGGATTCCTTATAACTTTTTCTGTAACTATGGTTTCATATTCCCCACAACCCTATTGAACTTTCTTAAGGTCTCTACATTAAGAGCTGTTCACCCGGTCTACAGTGATAGAGACCCTGAAGTCACCTCGCGCTTACGCCATCGTCATCAAGTCGTCAGCGAAGCCGGATTTGGCTGGTATTGTACAGCGACGTTGCCTGCAACATCTGCGGTGCCCAAACTGGGAGATTGCGAGACTACTTCCCCCAAAAAGTTTGAACCCTAAACCCTAAACCTAAAATCCCAAACCCTAAACCCTAAACCCCAAAAAATTGAAACCTCCAAGGATCAAAGTCTTCCGAAGAGAGACTCCAGGGGGCCTGTCTCGCGATCTCCGCTGGCCCCGCAGCTCCTGAGTGAGAGAGCTGCGACTACAGGCCGAAAAAAGGTGCCAGGCAACTGCATCGGCAAGCTAAGGGCAAGGCTGCTCGCAGAATTTGAACTTACAGGCGTCGAGATGCCTTTAATTGAGGGAGAGATCATGGGAGTGCGGGCGTGTAGGATGATTTGGAGGCTTTTGGGACGGCTCTTTCCAGGAGTTTCGATTATGCTGGATTGGCTTTCGCATGCAAGCTTCTGCGGCTCACTAGATGTTGTAGTTGCACGGCGGACTGGAAGGAAAGACTCGCGGTGAACTACGTCGATGCTGACAACACTACGCCGTCTATGCTACTCGTAAGATTGTGTCGGTGATACAGGATTGACAGTGAACGAAGTGCGACAGAGCATCGAGCAACGGATCTGAGAGAGACTTTTTCTAGTCCTGAAGCGTCCAGCCTCGCACCTTGCTCCGCAGCTTGCCACATGACATGAGAGTTGCCGGCCAATTCGCCGATCTGCGGCCGCGAGCTCAGCACAGGGTTGGCAAGGCTTCATGGACCCCATGCCCCGACCCACAAGAACACTTCTGGGCTACGGGGTTTGCCCTAGGTGTGTTATGGGGCTGAAGCCAGGGCTGCTGTGCAAAAGCTCACGGAAGCAAGGATTAAGTGGCTACAGTTGTGTCTGCATACAAAGTAGGTACGTGTGCAGACTTGTTTAGTTAGGTGCGCATGTCCATGTGTTTTGTACCTATACAAGTATAGATAATTACACGGGTCGATACATGCGTACAAACACACATACATACGTACATACATACGTACATACATACATACATACATACATACATACATACATACATGCATACACACACCAAATCAGTCGAAGGGTTCTGTACATGGTACCTAAAGCTACTCGTATATATAATAAATAAATAAATATATATATATATATATATCTATCTATCTATCTATCTATACGTGCATATACATATACATATACATAAACCTATACATTTACACATACATATAGACATACGCACACATATCTGCATATAGTCATCTCTATGTCCGGTTTTCCAGAAACAGCGAAGTTGCCAAGGATGCGCGTGGGGATTCCAGGAACTACTCATCAGCTTCCAGAGCCCGCATAGTAATAACAATAATAATAATATCATAATAATAATAATAACAATAATACTAATAATGATAATAATAATATTGGGGTCTAGGACTTTCGGGTTTGGGTTTAGAGCGCTTTTTGCATCAAGCAAAAACAGAAAAAGCCCAAAGCCACAGGGACACACGAGCCTCTAAGAAAGGCACAGAGAGATTTACACTTCAGACCATCATTGGGTCATTGGGTTTACTCTAAATCCTCAGCCCTGAAAGACAAAGAAAGAGAGATTTAGACTTTAGACCATCATTGGGTCATTGGGTTTAGGCTTCACGGATTAGTGCCCAGGCGACTCTTGGCCAGATGCTGCGGCTTTTCGACCTCGCGATTTGCACGTGGCCCGGCAGAGGACAATGCGATGGTGAAGCGGGGCTCTGTTAGATATAGGCGCTTGCTACTTGTACCGCCGGATTCAAGAATGATGGTTGTTGATCGACGGGCTTGCCACAGCTGGGATGTGCGAAGGGTTCCATGTGAAAGTTGTCACAGAGGGTTGGTGTGGATGGGTTGAACAGAGCACCGAATCTAAGCGGAACACAGACTTTCCTCAGCACCCTGCTAAACCGAAGCCAACACGCCCGCTCCACAGCCTGGCCACCAGCCCGACATTCCCATAAGCCCCATAAGGCTCTAAGGGCCCATATTTTAAGGCTTTTGGGCCCAAAGACCATACTACTACATAAGGTTTTTTGGGCAATTTTGAGCCTTAGGCATTCGAAGCTCCATCCTGGCCCTGGGAAACTCTTATCCAAACCCACTTGGGTAGCCCAACGCATCCGAATTTGGAGAATGCCTCCCCTAAGCCCCCTAAGCCCTAAGCCCTAAGCCCTAAGCCCTAAGCCCTAAACCCTTCCCTTAAGCCGTGTAGAATCATTTCAATACCCCGATATAAGCCCGATATACACCCCAATAAGTTCCAATGTGAGATCCCGCTTTGTGTCCTTCCCGGGCCTTGCCCTTAGCATTATTACTGTTGTTTGCATTACTATAATTACTATTTCTATTGTCAGTATTACTACTACTACTACTACTACTACTACTACTACTACTACTACTACTACTTATACCACTACTAACTACTACTACTTATACCACTACTGCTACTTACACCACTACTACTACTTATACAGCTATGATAAGCAGAATGGTTTGGCGTCGGCCCAGGCACTCCCATGCCGATCAAGACCCAGGCGGCCCTGAGAGCCATCGAAGCGAGGCCCGGGGGTCTCGGGGGCTCTAGGGTGTAGGGTTTAGGGTTTAGGGTTTAGGGTTTAGGGTTTAGGGGTTTAGGGTTTAGGGTTTAGGGTTTAGCCGCTTTGGGGTCCTAGGGGGTCGAAGGGCGGAAATGGGGTTCCTTACAAGAGGTCTATATGGGATCTAGTAGGGGTCTACTTAAGGCTCCTGTGCTTTCGGGCTTTTGGATTATAGGGCTTTGGGGCTTTTGACACTTTCTTAGAAATTTTTGGGTTTCCGGAGCTAGGCTTTGCTGCTTCAAGTCTTCCGCATTTGGCAATGTGGAGCCCGGCGTCAGGGTTTCACGACTCAGGTTCAGAACTCGGTCTCGGGTTTAGGGTTTAGGGTTTAGGGTTTAGGGTTTAGGGTTTAGGGTTTAAGGTCTGGGGTATTGCTTTTGCTGTTTAGCTCACTACTGTCAGTTGCAGGTCTTCGTAGCCACCCGTCTTGCTGGTTGAAGTCTCGATGCGGCCATCAAGGGTCGAAGATGTCGTTCGTGTATGTAGCGTCGTCTTGGAGTTGAAAGTATCATTTGTTATTCAAAAGCGCCGAGTTTAGCAGCGTGTGCTCGGGCTCCTTCAGAACCGCCTTAAAGAAAATCACTGCTCGGCATCCAAAACTCCGAAACCGATTGGCCGCAACCTTGGATGCCCCATCCGCCCAAAGCGGGAAAGAAACTCGAAAGCTTGTGGACCTAAGAACTCCGGAAACCGTGCTTGACTCAAACCTCGCATGGCTTTGGCAAGGCGCCTGGAGCACGTGGCCGAAAAAGCTACGAGATACAGCAGGCTGGTGAGTGTGAGCATGCTGCTAGATTCCAAAGCCCAGATGCTTGATATAAAAAAACAGTTTGAGATATTGTGACACAGTGTATAGAGTGTAGCGTACAATGTCACAGAACATAGGAATAGAACAGAACAGAATAGAATCGAGTATAATACCATGCAATATGCATAATATAGGGCCTAAATAACTCCCTATGTTATGATTGGGGCCCCTCGTGATATCTATACTTTAAAGGGCCCCCCAAACCCTGTTCGAGTTATTAAGGCCCGCATATTACTCTAGAATCTAGAAGCCTAAACAATTCAATATCATTCCTCAGGGTTCCTGCAAGGAGCCCAGAACCCTATTCTAATTATCAAGGCCCCTACATTAATGGAATACAATATCGAACCCGAAGCCCCTCGGCAAGGCAGCGACTCTCCCGATTGGGTTTGCCTTCGGGGTACCGGCCTCAGCGGATCCCTCTATTATGGGTCTCTCTGGGGCTTCAGCCAAGTCCACAATGACGTCTGTATGTATGTGTGTGTATATATACATAAATATTCACACATATATATATATATATATATATATTGTATGTATGTTATATACATATACATGTGTATATATATATATACATACACATCAAACTATATAGTCCGGAAGCACAGGTCTGTTCTAGTTGCCATAGCCTTGCTGATTACCCAAAGCACACCACCTCACATGAGCTGTGAACCTCCTGACTTGGGGCAAAGGCTTGAGTGCGTTGGCACTACACCCCTAGATCCGCCACTACACCGGACATGGGAGGTTGCATCTGAGAGACACAGAGCAGCCGCCTTTGGAGTGGTTCCTGCAGAGACAAAGACACACGATTGGCTTTGGCAGCATACTTGGATAACCAGCGCTTCGCACTGAAAGCAGGAAGTGCTGCGGCAGTTTGGGCGAAGTTCCTGCCATGATAGGATCTGCGAAATTCGAAACAGTAGCAGAACGGCTTCCAGTGCTGAACTTGTTCAGATAGCTTGGGCCTGACAGAGGGCTCCCCGGTCAACTGTAAACTGAGCAGCTAGATCCATCCGCTTCGTGAAGAATCGGCCACATCCCTCTAAACCCAAAGCTTTGCCAACTCCAAACTATATGTCCTGAACCCCAAAACCGAAATCCGATACCCCAAACCCTCTACAAATCCCCTACACCTTATTGAACACTCTGCAAATCCCCTTAACCCTATCCCCTCAACCCTAAACCCTCTACAGATCCCCCAATCCCCCACAAATCCCAAAGCCTTCCGAGCTCCCCCTAAACCCTAAACCCTAAACCCTAAAACCTAAACCCTACTTCCGAGCTCCAAGGCCCCTCCCGGAGCTCCTGCCTTCGGCCCCGGCGGACGGCGAGTCCCAAGCCGAACTTGGAGGTTCATGGGTAGTTATAAGTAGGGCTTAGGGTTTAAATAGGGGTTTAGGGTTTAGGG